CGAGGACGGCGAGACGGTGATCGCGGCGGTGACGCCGCTGATGGAGCGCGTCCACACGCTCCCCGACGCGGGAGAGGTGGTCTTCGTCGACGCCTCAGGAGGGATGAACCGGCACGGCCAGCGCGTCTTCCTGCTGATGTGCTGGAGCCCGGCCGGTGGTCTGCCTCTCGGTGTCATCGTCTCCACCTCGGAGACCGAGGCCGTGGTGGACAAAGCCTTCCGGCTGCTCGTCGGGATTTTACCAGACGGTACGATATACCTACATTTGCCATGAATTCCCATATCTGGCGGCTAAACTCTGAATTGTCCAGTCAGTTGTGCATTGGTGTATAAAATCCAATATCGTGTTTGACCGAGAATGCTTCTTTGACAGGCGCCTTTGGCGGGCGTGGAAGGCGCGGCCCTCTGTGCTTCATGACGGACGACTGTCAGGCCGAGCGGAACGCGCTGTCGGCGGTGTGGCCTGAGGCGCGGCTCCTGCTGTGCACGTTTCACGTGCTGCAGGCCGTCTGGCGATGGCTTCACAACGGCAAACATGGCATCGACAAGCAAGTGAGTAGTTTCTACTGGGAATGAATTTCCGTTCATTTTTGTCTAATTACCCCTTTTTGAGAAACACAGAGAGAGAGCGAGAGAGAGAGAGAGAGGGAGAGGGAGAGAGGGAGGCACAGAAAGAGACAGAGACATAGAGAGAGGGAGGGAGAGAGAGAGAGAGAGAGAGAGAGAGAGAGAGAGAGAGAGAGAGAGAGAGAGAGAGAGAGAGAGAGAGAGAGAGAGAGAGAGAGAGAGAGGCAGGCAGACAGCTGGGCAGAGGCAGGCAGAGGCAGGCAGTCAGGCATAGACAGACATAGGCTGGCAGTCAGGAATAGACATGCAGTGATACTGGTCTAAAGGCTGTAAAAGAACGTAAATGAGTTTGATTAATTTCATCTCAAACACCCCGTATATTTACATTTACCTTCACCCTTCACCCTTCACCCCTCCCGCCTCCCACACTCGGATACCAGTTAAATTGTGCATTTTCTTCCAGCACAGGCAGGCTATCATGGCACTAGCCAAGCAGCTCGTGTACGCCAACAATGAGGCGGAGATAGCGACGACGATGGAGCTGGTGGCTACCGAGTGGGGCGAGCGCTACCCACTGCTGGACCAGTACCTGCAGGGTTTCGCTGCCCGCCGTCAAGAGTGGGCGCTGTGCCTCCGCACGGATGTCCCCACCCGGGGACACAACACGAACAACATCGTGGAGTCCGCCTTCAGAGTCCTCAAAGACTCCGTCCTCTACAGGTCAGTCTTTATTCATATGTTTCACCTAATTGCGGTTCAATAAATAAAACAGTTAACCTGGCGTTCATAGACAAACCTGTCTTTTAACTAAAGTTGATTGTAAAACTGTTTCGGTGACCGGAGGTATTGCAATAGATTCATTACTATTTTAAAATATTTCAAGTTGTAAGGTTGCCCAAAAGTGGCAAATGTTGAAGAAATGTCAAAGTTGCAGTTACAGACAAATTCCAATTAATAAAGACAAATAATTGGAAAAAAGCCAAAGCAGGGGAGTAGTTTTTCCTTTCAATATAGGTCGGAGGGCTGAGAGTGAGCCGGTAAAATGTTCTCGAAAACACCATCAAAATCCCTAGGACTGTGCAATTCTCCCCAGTGTCTGCCAAAGTTCAGAGCCTGAAGCCCCCGAAACGGAATTGGACCATACATCCCTTCGTCAAAGACGTTAATTACTAACTTGTGACTTTCATGGATTAACACGGATTAACTTGTGAATATCACGGTTTTACATTTCTGTTAACCCTACATGTGGAAGAAAAACAAACTTTCGCATTTCGGGTAGGTTGTGAAATTGTTAGTTGTGCTTTTGGTTGCTCTTCTGAAAGCCTTATTGTGTCCATACGCTGGCAGTCTACCGTTAATTATAGCTGCAAAGAAATTGTTGAAATATTCGCTTGACACGCGCTGTTTTTCCAGGACTCGGGCGTTCAACCTGCTGCAGCTGTTTGATTCCGCCACGGTCCAGCTCAGCAAGCACTACGCCAGGAGGGCGTGCGACGTGACCAACGGCCGGCAGCGGGCGGCACTGCGCCGGTCCGCGGCGGCACCAGCCAAGAAACGGGCACTGTGACGCAGGTATTTTGCATGACACGAGAACTGATTAAGGTCACATAAGACAGCTCGTTTTCCAATGCTGGTCCCACCCGTACTGCCACATGGCTGTGCAAAGTGACCAATGCAATCGGCGCGCCCCTAAGCACCAATAAACCAAATGGCTGTGCATTCACACACAAGAGTCTGTCACTGTACCGCTGTGCCACTGTAGGGCCGCGTGGTGTTGGCGCTGTGTGCCACATCTCGTGACTCGTTTCGCGTTTTTTTTTTCTTGTTTCTTCTTTTTTCCCTTTGGGGGTCTGTTTTAAAAGGCCAAGCTGACAGTACTGGGGCGAATGAACAGGTTCGGATTTTCGTACAAGTAACCGTCCGTCAGTTTATGTTGTACAGTCTGTCTTAAAAGTCCGCGAAAAAGCAACGGTGGATCCATCAAGCCTGACCGAGGAAGGGCCTGCTCAATTTGAGTCATCAAAGCAATTGATATTCTCGTCCATTCCCCAGGTCAATTGGTTCGGTGACTTTCAAAGTAAAGCAGGCCTTTCTTCAGTAAGGCTTGATGGATCCACCGTCACTTTGCGCGGTACTTTTAAGACAGACTGTACATACGAATTTTACAGGATTTTATGTGTTGCCCCTCCCACAGGTGACGGAGTTCACCTATCAGGTGAAGTCGCTGACGTCGGTCGGCATCACCTACCTGGTGGACCTGAACGTCGGCGCCTGCACCTGCAGGATGAACCGGCGGACTGGCGGCTGCAAACACCTCCGAGCCGTGCGGCAGCAGACTGGCGCTGTGCCGGAGGCGACGGCGACAAAGGAGACGCGGAGGGCCTTGATGGACATCGCCATGGGGACCAGCCAGCAGCTGCCAGGCAACTGGTTCGACCCTCTGGTCGCCGAGCCGTCCACCTCGTCACCTCCTGGCCCCACGCCCGCCAGCGCCCCCGGAGTCGCGCAGCCCCAGCCGTCGCCTGGTCCCGAGGAGTACGACGACGACGCAATGGACTTCGAGGACCCCGCCGCTGCGGCGGCGGCTGTCAGTGGAGCTGAGCAGCGACGCTCAGATGACCGGACACGCCAAACCGTGGCGTTCATCCAGGAGTGGGCAGCCTTCATGTGCGAGGCAGTCGTCCAGGACGACACCTGGGAGAGGGCTGCCGCTGCCTTCCAGCAGAGGTGGGGCCAGCTGCCCACTGCTGGCCGCCAGTCCGCTCTGCACCAGTTTGGGGGTGCGCAGGGCTGCCGGCGGAACGCCACCCAGATTCCGGTCCAGCCGACCAGCACTGCCCGTCGCACCAGCACCAACGTGCGGGGTCGCGCTCGCTGGCCCGCTGGACGGCCGTGCCGCTCCGCGCGCACCGGGGAGCACGGCTACGTGGCAGCCTCCGCCAGGCGGTCGGCGGCGCCCCACAGCCTGGCCACCTGTGTTGACCAGAACCGCCCCCTGGGGCGCTGAGTGGTAGAGGTGAAGTGGGGGTGACCGGGGCAAGTTGGTGCCAGGGGGGGGGGGGGTAAGTTGGGACGGAAGGGATATTTCCAATACTTCTCGACAGTTGGCGTTCAAACTTATTTTGTACATGCACAGTAACGCCGTCTGTTTGTCAACGTGGTGTCGGCGCGTGCTGAGGTAAGTGCTGTTAATAATCGCTACAAATGTGTTTCAGGTACCAAAAGTGATTTTCTTGCTGTGAAAATATTCTCTTCTAGTGTCGTTGTGTGTGCCTTTTTGTTTGCCGCAGGAGTACTGCAAACGTTTGTGTTTTGTCGTTAATGCCCGCATGGATTAGCGATGATTGTTCATGTGAAACATGAATAAAAATGTGTTTAGATAAACTGTTTTTCCTAGTGTACCAACTTGCCTTAGGCCCTGGCCCAACTGACCCCCCGCCGCGGGGTAAGTTGGGACATTGGAGGATGGCCGCTTTGATCAGATATGACACCAAGACGATGCTACCATCTCTCTTATATTAAGTCTTCTTTAAAAGATAAAGAAATCAGATCTCAGTTAATAGCCAACAAATAATGATGTATAGTTATACCGAAGTTATGACGCTTCAAGCAATAACTGGCTCAACTAGCGTTAGCGGAATGACGCAAAATTAGCAGGTGACCAGTGACCACTCCCAGTTCGCTAATATGTTTGCATCATTAACATACCTTCCACTATAAGCACGGTTTCTCAATCTTAACATAAAATATAACATCTTTTCATGTAATTTGCATCTCTAATATACCCCAGTCAAACTTGCATCACTAATGTAGTGGAGGACTTCTTGGGACGAATTAGTTTCTAGGGACTTACACATTTATGCTCATTTCCCCACATTTGTCGCCAGGGGGAGAATTCCACAGAATTTTCCGCTAGGAGTGGCTGAGCCCTATGGTGAATTCAAAATACGCGTTCCCAACGCCATTCATCATAAGCTAACTGATCGCACGCAACGTCATTCGAGTGACGTCAGGGGTACGCCTCAGCTTCCAGCGCGCTGCAGCGCGCGCAGCGTCGGGCGGTGAAACAGGGCCCTGGAATCACTTGCTTCTGTCAAACCACTGACTCCACTCCACTCTGGCTCGGTTTGAGTCAATGTCTAGGCCATCAGAAAATGAGATTGGACTCAATTATCTTATATCAACGTGAGCAGGTGAATATCAGTTTAAGAAGAACACTAGGTGAATAGAGATATACCCGAACACTTCCAGAACAAAAAATGTAACTTTAAAAAAATTGATGCAATGACAATGATGAAACAAACTCAAACTGAAACTGAAACAGATGCAACATGCAGCGCGTAAACCAAGCACCATCTGGCATCTTGAATGGGCTGCGACCACAAAGGGTAACATATTTGATAAATAAAATCATACTGCGAGCTGTTATTTACCTTTCAAGCTTTTAATTACCTTTATCGACTATCGAGAGGCATGGCTTCAGCAAAAGCGCGGTGTCGATTTCTGATAAAGTGTAAACATGCGCATCACATACAAACTTAACGCAGCTGGGGACCGCTAAATTAAAACGTACTTCTGATTAAAAGAGTTGCTAGCAAAGCTCCAATTCTAAAAAGCAACACAGATTCGATATTTACTTTAAATGATATGTTTGTGAAATTCATCTTAGTGTAAAGGACATTGACACTTTGACAGGTGATTTTTGGCAAATTTTTGGCAGTGCAATCAATGTGATTTTCGACACGAAAGATTCCTCGATTTGGTAGCAAAATAATGCGTCAGAAAATGCGCAGCTAACACAATTGCAAAGCGCTCCTGCCCGCTTTCAACATGTTCAAAATCTACACTTAAGCTATTGAAGAAGGAACGACAGCCAAAATTTACCAATGGTTACTCGCACATGACTGCTTGTGAGCTATGTGAGCGTACGCGTATAAGAGAAAGAACAATTTTGTCTCAAAGGATCATCAACCGGAGTCATATCGTCGATTTCGACTTTGACTCCTTTGACTTATCATTATCGATGGTCGCTTCTGGGGTATAATTAAGGTTTTCCAGTTGATACTGCAAGGCCCCATATACAATACTGTAAAATTTGAGCAGTCAAAATGACATCGGTACCCACTCCAACTACCAACCAAATTCTGCCACTGGGTAAGTGTAATTTCCCTGTTTCAGTTTTATTCATTGGAATAAAACTGAAACTGAATGAAACTAAAACTTTCATTGTATTCAATGGAAAATTTTGCTTAGTAAACTATAACAATCTATAACTACACTAACATTAACGGGCATACCTTGGTTGCTTGGTCGAGATCGCTGGCTCAGTGGCATGGTAGGCAGACAACTGAACCAGTGACAAGTTGGACAACTGAACCAGTAAAACTGAACCAGAGACAACTGAACCAGCGACAACTGAACCAGCGACAACTGAACCAGTGACAACTGAACCAGTGACAGCTGAACCAGCGACAACTGAACCAGTGACAACTGAACCAGCGACAACTGAACCAGTGATAACTGAACCAGTATGACAACTGAACCAGTATGACAACTGAACCAGTGGACAACTGAACCAGTAGACAACTGAACCAGTGACAACTGAACCAGTGACAACTGAACCAGTGACAACTGAACCAGTGACAACTGAACCAGTGACAACTGAGCCAGTGACAACTGAACCAGTGACAACTGAACCAGTAGACAACTGAACCAGTGACAACTGAACCAGTGGACAACTGAACCAGTGGACAACTGAACCAGTGGACAACTGAACCAGTGGACAACTGAACCAGTGGACAATTGAACCAGTGGACAACTGAACCAGTGGACAACTGAACCAGTGATGACTGAACCAGCGAACAACTGAACCAGCGGACAACTGAACCAGTGACAACTGAGCCAGTGGACAACTGAACCAGTGGACAACTGAACCAGTGGACAACTGAACCAGTGGACAACTGAACCAGTGACGACTGAACCAGTAGACAACTGAACCAGTAGACAACTGAACCAGAAGGCAGAAACAATTCAAATGTCGTACTGCGCTGTATAGGTATATGGTAGCGCGTGGCTGGACGGACGGACTGTACCAATCTGCCAGTCTGCCAATTGATCTGTGTCCGATCTATTAAAGGGACCCTCCCACCTTAACATTAGTTTTGAGTTGAGATAGCCAAGTTTGCGGCCAGGCTCAGAAACCACCATTTATCCTTCGCAACCCCCCCAGCTTTATGGTGTTCAAGAAATTTCTTCCCTTTACTTGCAGGGTGGGACCAGCGTGGTCCCTATCTCTTAACCATTACGGGAATCTGATGACGTCATCAGGCTTTCGAACGTCCGTTAAATGTTTGACTAAAACGTTTTGTAGCACGCGGTGGTATATGCTGCTTTGCGCGCAACAAATGCCGCACTTTTAAATAAAGTCGCTAGGAACAGCGGAGATCCCAAAAAGTAAACAAAAGTAAAAGTCTAATATCTTGAAAACCGGTGAATATTTTTCGATGAAATTTGGTAGATATCCGTTTTTGCTCTTTCTGAACCAAGCGACATCACTTTCATGCCAATTCATTAACTTTTTTGAAGGTGGGAGGGTCCCTTTAAAGTGTCCGTCCGAGAGCCGTACGATGGCTGACAGGGCTGACAGAGCCTGGTGGTCGCGAACTGGTGTGTACTGTGTAGCCGTTACGCACACCTGGGACGCCCGAATAGTTAGCAACGTATAAATAATATTCACTTTGATGGCGTAACTCGGGACAGACAGGGCATGTAACGTGGGCTTGGCAGAGTTCAGCCCGCCTGTGGGCCCAGAGGAATCTCCGGTATATAAATGGATTGACTGCTCGGGCTTACATCGGGCTTGCGCCAAACGTCGCGCAACTAGGGCGTAACTACGGCTGTCCTGAGCTCGCCGAGCGCGCATACCTCCGGCAGAGCATTGGCTTCAGTCGGCGTTTTTGAGTCATAAGCCGACTGCCCAAACGCTAGCCGGCTTTAGCCCAAGCGCTACACTGCTACACACGGGCACCGCACACTGCTGCGTGCGGTGTGTGCGGTGCGTCCAGCAGGCGTGGGGGTAGGGGATGGGTAGGCGGTTCTGACGTCACGGCTGCGTGCGGTGGACGGTCCGCTGTGGCCAGTCCCGACCGGCCACAGCGATCGCTGTGTGCGGTGACGGAAGGCTGACGTAGGGACGCAGTGGGCGGAGCTTCGAGGCTGTGTGCGGTCCGACCGCACACAGGGCCCGTGAACAGCCCCCTGGACAGCCGTAGTTACGCCCTAGTTGCGCGACGTTTGGCGCAAGCCCGATGTAAGCCCGAGCAGTCAATCCATTTATATACCGGAGATTCCTCTGGGCCCACAGGCGGGCTGAACTCCTGCTGAGCTCGCCGAGCGCGCATACCTCCGGCAGAGCATTGGCTTCAGTCGGCGTTTTTGAGTCATACGCCGACTGCCCAAACGCTAGCCGGCTTTAGCCCAAGCGCTAGCCGACTTTTGCCCGACTAAAAATATCGGGCAAGCCTCACTTTAGCCTGCTTGGGCCCGGAGTAAAATTGGCTGGCTGGGCTACTGGTTCAGTTGTCACTGGTTCAATTGTCACTGGTTCAGATGTCTCTGGTTCAGATGTCTCTGGTTCAGTTGTCACTGGTTCAGTTGCCACTGGTTCAGTTGTCACTGGTTCAGTTGTCCACTGGTTCAGTTGTCCACTGGTTCAGTTGTCACTGGTTCAGTTGTCCACTGGTTCAGTTGTCACTGGTTCAGTTGTCCAATGGTTCAGTTGTCACTGGTTCAGTTGTCACTGGTTCAGTTGTCACTGGTTCAGTTGTCACTGGTTCAGTTGTCTACTGGTTCAGTTGTCTACTGGTTCAGTTGTCTACTGGTTCAGTTGTCCACTGGTTCGGTTGTCCACTGGTTCAGTTGTCACTGGTTCAGTTGTCCCTGGTTCAGTTGTCACTGGTTCAGTTGACACTGGTTCAGTTGTCCCTGGTTCAGTTGTCACTGGTTCAGTTGTCCCTGGTTCAGCTGTCACTGGTTCAGTTGTCACGGGTTCAGTTGTCACTGGTTCAGTTGTCCTGGTTCAGTTGTCACTGGTTCAGTTGTCATGGAACCCAGTGGCATAGCATTGGCACCGATTGGCACCCATCACCAGACACCAGCTGCAGCTCTCTGTCAAACTTGTTTGCATATTAATAGCCAAGTTGGTACCCACTACCTAGGCTCTTAGCTCAAGCTTCAGCCTCACTGCACTGCAGCTTCAATGAATGCATTCCTATGCCCGGCAGAGCTGGTGGACAAATGTATTGGGTCTCGTCTACACATCATAATGAAGAATGACAAAGAGATTGTGGGCACACTGTGTGGGTTTGATGACTTTGTCAACATGGTGCTGGAGGATGTGACTGAGTATGAGAGCACACCTGAGGGCCGACGTGTCACCAAGCTGGAGACGATCCTGCTCAATGGCAACAACATCACCATGGTGAGGATGGAGGCTAGCTGCAGTGAAAGTTGGCCACATATAGAGGTCATTTTAACAATTGTACAGTAGCATTTTTTGGTCAACTATCCCCCTTTGGACATGCTCATCCAATACAAATGTTTTTTATTGTTACTTTCTCTGTTCTGTTTTCTTAAAATAAACTTACTTTTTGAAATCCCTAAACTCAAAGCTTTTTTCATTTTTTCAAACTCATATTTTCTCAATATTGTTCCAGTATTCTATCTATTGTGTAGTTAGGCAGTGGTGCTAGGTGTTAAAGTCCAGTACTTGAAAACATGTGGAATGGGGTCATATTAAAATGGCTGACCCCATTATGACATCTTATTACGTCTTAAGTCTTTAGATCATGTGCAATGGGCACCTGCGTTGCTTAAAGTAATGTGAGCTTTTGCTAGGGAACTTGTGTTTCAAAATCCATTCATAACCTGCGTGCTTGCAGGCTAAGTTTACATCTGTGCTGGTGCGGATGTGACGTGGTGTTTGTTTCAACGAGGCGACGGCCGCCCGTTCTTTTCAGCTCGTGCCGGGAGGAGAGATGCCGGATAACTGAGCCAACGCGCTCGGGCCCAGCTCGGAGCCATCTCATCTCATCATGCCCTGACATCCCTGCCCTGTATTCTATGTCGCCATGTCATTTGTTATAATATAAGATTGTCCAAACTCGCTGAGTTTTATGCAGGATAGAGCAGTCCTCCCTATTCTTTCTATCCTTTGTCTCTACCGTAATTTGAAGTTTTTCAATGCTTCTGAGCCGCATCATAAATCCTGTTATAACATGCCTGATGAATATATTTGATTTGTGTGCAACGATGAACAATAAAATAACGATAAAATATCAACAAAACTGGACGGCATAAAATATCAGCGGGAGTGCCGAGAAACTGGGCTCATTGAGCCGTCCATTGAGCCGTCCGCATTCCAGCCCGGCCCGGCGCCTCAGAACGGATCCCGGATCCAGACACCGTCGCCGTCCAGCGCCAGCAGCCAGCGCTCGAGCTGCTCGGCGTCGGGCCGCGAGCGGGCCTCATGCGCCCAGCAGCGCTCCACCACACACTGCCACCTGCCGGCCGCGGCGGGAAGCTGCGGTTCGGGCCGCCGCCGCAGCGCCACCACGATGTAGATGACCGTCTCGGGCTGGAGGCCGGCGAACGGGCGCCGCCCACTCAGCAGCTGCCACGTGCACACGCCCAGTGCGTACACGTCCGCCCGGCACGTGGCGCGCTCGCCGCGGAACAGCTCCGGGGCCATGTAGGGCACGGTGCCGCGTGCTCCACTCTGCGGGCAGACGTGGGGGACGGACGTACTGAACAGTCGCATGTGTCTGTGAGCCCGAAATATCAATTAGCGACACGATGAGCATTAACATTTTGGGGATTGTGCGATGCTTGCTTTTGTTTTTGAATAATTATTGCCTTCTCGCCAAGAGGTAAAATTATTACCTGGACTCTCAATAGTCCGCTCCGGACAAATTAAACACGAGTTGTGTGTCGCCTCGTCATTCATAAAAGCACTCAACTTTGAACCTGAACAGTAACAGACTGTCATCTCAATCAGCACCCAAACACCTCTCTCGACAGTCGACACCCTCATGCTCACCCCGCGTGCCTCGGGGTCATCGACGCTGCGCGCGCTGCCAAAGTCCCCCAATTTCAGATCGCCGGCGCGGGTGACGATCACGTTTGCCGGCTTCAGGTCCAGGTGAATCACCCCCTCTCCATGACAGTAGGCCAGCGCGGAGACCAGCTGTGTCACGAACCTGCGACAGAGACAGACCTGCTGCTCAGGGGGCGAGGGGAGCGCCAGTGGCATTGTCTGATATCAATAATCAGCCCTGATGAGAACTAGCAGTAAGCCGTAAGGTAAACTGTATAAGCAGCGAGTGCCAGAGCTCTGAGACCTCAACGGCCGCTGAATTGTTTCGATCAGCTCGTAGGAAGGTTATCATTAGTATCATTGACATGTCGAACAGCGTTTGAGTTTATCTTGCTCACTACCTTCAGTGTCTGGTCAGGTCCTGTGAAACCTGTCTGCGCACCTGGCGACATCGGCGGCCGGCAGGGGTCCGTCGGCGGCGTCCAGCAGCGCCTGCAGGCTGGCGCCGCCGCAGTACTCCATCTCCACGGTGGAGAAGGCCGCGTTCACACCGTATACGCCGTAGACGGCCACCAGGTGCGGGTGACGCAGCCGGCGCGCCAGCAGGTCGCCGGCACTGGGCGGCCGGCCGCGCACCACCTTCACAGCCACCGGACGCTCTGCCGGACCGCAGGGAGGGGAGGGGTATCAGACGACAGACATCCGCCACCTTCACCGGCCGCAGGGAGGTGGGGAGGGGGGGGGGGGCGTCACACATACACCACCTGCACCGCCACCGGCCGCAGTGGGGGGGGGGGGGGAGGAGCGTCACACTGCACACATACACCACCTTTACCGCCACCGGCCGCTCTGCCGGTCCGCGGTGAGGGGGCGTCAGACGACAGACATCTGGCGATTGGGGCTCGAACGATTGACAACTACCGGGAATGATTGTTCCACTAATTTTTGTCGGCTGCTGCCCCATTGGAGATGATTTGGGGCTTCATTGAGAAGGCATATCGCTCATCAAGCTCCACAGACTGCTAATTTTGTGAAAAGCTCAGACAGGAGATAATCTAGAGAGCAGTGAAGACGTAGTAGCCATTCGGGCACTCACCTCTCCTCCTTCCCAGCACCACCGTTCCGAAGGCGCCTCTGCCGAGCACGGGCACATCCGGGTGCGAGTCCAGGCCGTGTTCCTCCACCTCCGTCCGCTCCGGGGTATCGAACTTCAGTCCGGCGCCGGTCCAGCTCCCTCGCCGGCGTCCAGTGATCACCGGAGTCCGAGGGGCGCCCGGCGGAGGCTCGCCGTCCAGACGCACCGGCGCCGGGCTGGCGGGGCTCGCAGCTGTGTAGGTGGCGCTGTCATCCTCGTCTGTTTTGTGACAGGTGGCGCTGCGTACGTCCCCGCTGGCGAACGGATCAGGGATCTCGTCCGGCGGCGACCCCGGCGTCACCAGCAGAGACGGCCGGGGCAGAATGGACCTGCCGGATATTGTCCATCATCGAAACACTGCACAAACATTAGTAAAACTAATTAGTATCTAATCAGCTCTCTGGTCTCTGCAATGACACCTCACACCGGCCGATGCAATCAGCAATGCGATGCAACGCAAGCCGACCGTCTTCGGCGGTATTCAACCACGAACCAGGTGACGCGAATTACGTCTCTAGTCTTCTCGATCCTGACCTATCGTTCTGAATGGATTCCATTTGGGTCATCTAAAAAGTGCCTATTACGCTCATTGCTCACTGCTCAGCTCACCTGTTCCAGGGCTGGTCAGGTCGCAGCGGTGACCGCCGGAACAGCAGAGCTACGGGCGAGACGGCCGAGCCACGCCGGGGCCGCCGGGCGCCGGCGCCGGGGCCGGGGGCCGGAACGGACAGCTGGAGCGCCCCCGGCGGGGGGCCGGCCGGGTCCCGGGGCGACGCGTGCAGCGAGAGACGACGGCCGGCCGCCGGCGACACCGGCCCGCCGCGGCCGGTCGGGGTCAGTGACCTCGACCGACATCCGACCGTCAGCAGGTGACGGACGCCCGACATGGTGACTGTCGGCCGGACTGTCAGCCGTGTCAGCCGTGTCAGTGGCCGACACACGCCCACTCACTGCAAACTGCAGCTATTTCCTTCTGCACTGTTTCCTGTCACGTCACCCGCCGCTCAGAGCCGAATCGAACCACCCCCATCGTCACGGTCTCACCGGGGCAGAGGCGGCTGGGTATCTGAGCTCCGCGACCACGGAGGTCGCTGCCCGGGTCTCCCGGCCGATCCTCCGCGCCCCGGGCGACCCCGCTGACCGTGTCACCGGTGAGCCACGGGCGAGCCGAGGTCACCAGAGCGGGGTGCAGGCCGACATTTCAGTGGTCGGCGCTGAGCGCGCAGTTTCCTCGGCACCCAGGTATATGAGCGCTCGGTGAGTGACCGCGGGTGCGGCCCGCCGGTCATTTTACCGGCTCCGTGTGCCGCCCCCGGTCTGCACAGAGCGGGATGCGTCACATCCGAGCCGGTACGCTCCAGGCAATGCTAATCGTAGTCGTTATTCGCTCCACCCGAACGGGACGGGCCAAGGCACCGGGGTTGTCCTGCACCGTTTTCATGCCAGTCGGACTGTCAGCACCCAACGGTCATAGCGGAAGAATCATTCATTGAAATACACACCTCCCCTGACGCATTTTTCCACACAATCCAGAGCGCAGGCCAATAAACCACCCGTCCACCCACCACCCGGCGCCTCCCCAGCTGATGTGCCTGAGCGCGCCTCTGCGCCGCGGAGCGATCAGCTGACTGCGGCGGGCGGTACCGGCCGCTCCGCCGCCGCCGCCGCCGCCGCCGCGTGGGGATAGAGGGGCGGAGTGGGAGCCGGCGTGGCCGTGAGTTTGGGAGACGTGAGAGCGTGCGTGGACCGTGGGGTGAGCTGGAAACTCGGGTGAAGAAACTTTGCGCCAATAGGTAAGTCCTGCTGCCCCATTGGTCCATGAAAGGCTAGTTTTGTTGATATGATACGGCAGAGTTGAGTTTTTTTTTTGTTTAGTCTTGAGTGTGCGTCGGCTCCGGGGTCAGGGTCGATTGCCACTGCCGCCCCGTGCTCATGCTGTGGCTCCGTGCGACCACGCTGGAAAGCGACTCAGCGGCAGCGGCACGTGACTGTGAGTACTGAGTACGTGATCTCAGTGTCTGCAGTGCAAGTGAGGTCGTCTATTGCACCTGTCGGCTGTCAGTCCTTGTTGAGATAAGTGCTCAGCTATCCCTGACTTGCTGCACTAATTGAATAACGAACAACTGGGCGCACAGTGGGATGACTGATGCCGAATGTGTCATTTTTCTCTGAATCAATCTAAAATAGTTGTAGTGTCACGATGAGACGTTATTGAATCGTCCCGTGCGCATACTTCAGCCCTTATTAATTATTCAGTCCATCTGTGCATTTCGTGTTCTGAACTTCTGACCCTCACCTGACCTATCGCGGTCTTGTGCATTTTATCGCCCGCGCGAGGGTGTGGCAATGAAAATTCCTTCGCCATTTCGCCCCTAATTGCGGCCGAAACGGCCCTCTCTCTTAACCCGCGCCCCGTTGAGGTCTGGCAGGTTCCACGTGCTGTTAGGGGGGGGGGGGCAAAGGCCCCCCGTCGTATCTCCGGAAGCAATCGCCGGATCGGAAAAATTCAAACGGCAATCGAAACGGCTCATCGAGATGCACAAGATAGGTTATCGATGACCTTGATACTTGACCTGTGACGTCACAGGGAGGTCAAACAAGGTCAAATCATGGTCCAATTTGCAATGACGAGAAGTCGGTCATAAAAATGAAATACAAGTTTTCAAAATGGGTCTGGATGTGATGTAAATGATAGATCTGGCATGTGGATAGTCACCTGAGTGGATGATGACCTGTGACGTCACAACAGGGGTCAGCCTCGACCAATCAGAAAACACTTTGGTGAATCGTAAGGAAAGGCATGTTTAATTGTAAATATTCGAGTCTTTATGAAGACATGTCATGTAAAATTTCTCCAAATTTCAAAAATATCTCAAATCTAAATTTTGAGTTAGAATATCCCTAGATCTATAGATTTGTATATACTGGAACTTTCGAGGAAGCCTTTTTGTTTGCCATGCTTTCTTATACC